ACCAACGTATGGAAGCATTCATTTCCAATTGAATCACAATCGATATATTCAAACAAAAGCCTTATGATTTTAATCGTATGTGAGATCAGATACAAAGACAATAGGTCAACAATGGTAAATTCACTTGTTCTTCTTCATCTCCTTTATTCAAAGCGAAAGACAATAGTTATTTAATTTTTCAATAATGATCATTGGAAAATTTTGAGAAAGGTATTTGTTTTTTTTCTTCTCAGTCATATCAGCAGTGTCACATATCCAAGATTTTGTAGATGCCACCACATCTCCTGCGGGAGATGCCGCATCTCGCGCGAGAGATGCGAGTGTGGGTGTGGGGGATGCGTCTCTCTAAAGGAGATCTTACATCTCCAGTGGTGAATGACCTAATCTCCCGAGTGTGGGTGCCGCGTCTCCCGCTGGAGATGCGGTGGCATCTCCAAAATCTTGGATATGTGACACTACTCACTATATGAGTAAGAAATGCGGAGGATCCACAACTCAAATCTCAGATCAAGTTTTCATTGTATTAATTTTTTTATTATGAATTATTAATAATTTATAATAAAAGTGTTCAAATAAAAAGCTGACTTCAGATTTGGATTCCTCACGAATAATTACCCTTTGATCAAGTTTTTTGGGAAATATTTAAGATTAAAAATAATTATGCACGAAAAATAATAATGAAATGAAAATCTTATTCCATGTTGTGTTTTTTTTAGCAACTGCGATCGCATTGTGATCTGTAATTGTGAAAAACTGCGTCGCAGGTCGATCGTAATCGAGCATATGGATATTCTATGAATCGTAAGAAATCATTCTAAAAGTGTCTCTTTACCTATTCATTTTCTAGACGACTAATCGATCCATCCATACATGCATGTAAATCTCAAGTCCACAAGCTACAGTAGGTCTCAGTCATTAATAGATAAAAATGAAAATAAGTTTTAAAAAAAATTAATAATCATAAATTCGTGTAGCCATTTAGTTCGACAAAACAAGATTTTAAATTCAAATCGCTCGTTCATTTTTCGTTATTTACAACAATTCAAATACCATTCATTCATGAGAAAATTTGAAGAAAACAAAACAATTTCAAAAATGACCCATTCTTTTTTTCTATTAATGAATTTTATGATTGATTATGTATAATTTACATTATTTGTAATAAAATAACAATAATCGTAATACTTATTCAAGAACATTTAAATAATCGACAAAACTCAAGATTGATTTCTTGATCTTTAAATGTTTGGAATTCTACATTAATACAAATGTCAAAGTCAATCAATTTTATTCTTGAAACTACAAGCACAAATTAGTCAAATAAATTTAGCTATATGGATAAATGAAAATGTAAAAGATTTTTGATGAGCAACAACAGAACCAATTATTTATTATCATCGCCATCGAATAATATAAAAAATACATTCACAAAAAAAACTCACAAAAATCAATGATTAAATAATCTTTGTTTTCAAACTCATTCAGTTACTTTTCATGTCTACCTACTACACTATATTCATATTTTTATATTTTTGTGTATTCTCTTTTTGTTTAAGTCTATCTATTTCAGTTGAAATTATAATTAAAGATTGATAAAATATCTGTTCAGTAGTGTACGAAAAGACGGGCATATTTTCTCTTTACAGCAATTTCAAACAAGAAAGTCTGTCATTAGTATATTTGATGATATTCTACGATATAATCAATCAATCAATGAATAATATCTTTTTGTGTTTTTTTTTTGCACATCTTGCTTTTCAATCTTGTTTATTCGAGTAAATCAAACAAAATACATGCGCGCTGTAGCTTGCTCTCTCTCCTCTAACTGCTTGCTGTACATAGATGCCCACTACGATGTGGAGAAAACCCACAGAACGAAAAACAATATTCATTCATTCTAGTTGTGATTTTTCGTTTTTTCTCTTATTGGACGACTGTGCATTCATGCATTCACTTTCGTTCTTGTTCTTCGTCCCTTGTTTGACGCACTGATACTTCATGGTCTCTTAATCTACACTCTTGAAACGAATAAGTCTAAAAAACGTCCTTCAACTGACAAACAAAAAAATACATCCACTCTTGTATCGACCGTCGAAAACAGTGCCAACAAAGTAACAAACAATAATACAGATAGGAGAACGATATCGGGCTTATGGCATCCACTCATCCATCTATCATAGACAAAAAAAACTCGACAAAAACTACTGCTAGTGGATCAACAGCTATCGCCGCAACCAGCGGTACTGTTGTGCTGCCTCGTCATACTCGTCGAATTGTACAAAATTATCTTCTTGTCTGGCTGGATGCTAATATTGATGAATCGAAGAAAGATTTTAAAAGTTCATTAGCGCACCTACGGCACATTGTGGCAACGATCAGGACATTTNGGGCTACAAAATGGTATATAAAACATTAAGAAAAAAGATGGCTCAGTCACCTATTGCAAAGATACTTAAACGGAAATTGCTTCTGTGTTTTTACTTTTTGAAGTACCCATAACACTCGGATTTAAATCCGAGGTTTCCACATTTTTTTACGTAATTTCAGATGAGTGTCTTTGTTGTTTATTTATTTAAGTAGATTGTATAATATTTCATATGAAATAAAGTTTGAAATTGATTATACGTGATAATGGTAGCCGGGTGCGTTATACTTATAAACGGCTGCCGGTCGGGTACCGGGTGGAGTTATTCGGGTCCGGTTTGGGTTCGGGCACGGAGTTGTCGGGTCGGTTCGGACTCGGGTACGGAAAAAAAGCTCCGGTTCGGTTTCGGGTGGAAAAAAGTACACCCGTGCAGCACTCTAGTGTGGATGTGGGTGTGGGTGTGAGTGTGGATGTGCGTGTGGGTGTTTGTGAAGCTGGATCAAGAGAACACCCACACCCACACCCACCCTCAAGAAACTTTTGAAGGTACTTGATGGTACTTGATGGTACTTGAAGAGTAATTGAAGCAACTTCCTGATACTTTTAATGTACTTCGAACTACTCCTATGTACTTGAATCAACTTGAAGTAACTTGAAGTTACTTTTGTACTTTCACTTACTTTTCGACTTCAAGTACGCCGTTTCCCCCTTGACGAAGATCCGAAAAACCAAACTATTTTAGACTTTTCTATTACTCTTTAGTACTCATCAAATGAACATCGTCTCGTTCGAAAAGCGAAGTGATACTTGAAGAGATACACTCGTTAGTTTGTTTTGAAGAGCATTGTTCAATAGGAAATGAACTACATGTGAATCAGTTGAATATGAATATGATGTTGAAATAATTGAAGATTATGCTACATGAACAGCTAGTTATTTTCTGGAACAGCAATATGAACGTTGTTAGATTTTTGAGTACCATTTGTATTGAACATCATTTTTTTGTTTTTACTGTTTTCTGTTCATGAAAATCGAATGTATTTAAAAAATAGAAACTTTGCAATATGTTAGACTTTTGTTTGTTGTTTATGAAATGTGTGTATATTCATTTCTATTTTTGATATGTTTACTTAATAAAAAGGAAGTCATATATTTTGAATGAGTGAGCTCTATGTAGAAAGTTTTTTTTATGCTGGATGTCCAGGAGTGGGAAGGGGGGACGATGAAAGTGGGCAAATCTGGACAGGGAGAGGAAGGCGGAGTCAAAAAAATGCGATTTTTAGCTGGACAACGTTTATGGATGGCTCCTAAGAAAAAGTAGAACGAGAAATGGAATAATCAATATGATTAGTATAAACTGGGAAGGATGTGAATTTGAAATATTACCTGCTCTTATACTGAATCAAATGACACAATATTTTCGAATCATTCAATTTGCTACACACACTGGACTTTTATCAGAATCATCGTGTATTTATTGTCAGATAGAACAAGCATTGGAAAGAACACATAACACTTTATATCACTATAGTAAGTTATGGGAAGGATGGGTACTCAAAACTACAATAGCAAACTAAACGGATTCGTACATTACACAGACGATATATATCAAGCATTAGCATATTTATTGGAACGATCATCAAAATAGACAAATCTATTTAGTCAAAATGGTTGTAGAGAAAATAAAAAGAGAACAGCGAGAAAAAGATGACAAAAAATATTTTCATGAGAGATAACCGGTAATAGCTTAATAAAACTGATCGTTATTGAATTATAGAATTATAGTTTCAGTATTCTGTTTATCAAAGAAATCTTTTTAGAAGAATTGTTACTTCACTTTATATCGATATTACAATAACGTCTAATATAGTTTCATCTTTAAACACAATAATATCATGTTGTCTCTGTTCAGTTTGCATTTCCTTAGAAATTATCTAACAGAAAATGAACGATTCAATAGATTTTCGATCATTTTAAAATTGGTCTCCCTATCAAAATATAAAATGACTATCATCGATACACAGTAAATCCTTAGTATTGTTAACACTTGTAAGTTCATGTTTGTCTGATAAATTTCAAATTCGTCGGTTCATAAATCATTCTGTTTTTCTTCAATAATATTTTCTAAATGTCTAGCAGTCGATAGTATTTTCTAGTTTATTTATCATTAGAGATTTTTGCAAGTATTTTCAAAATTAGAAAACAAAACATAAATTCACAAATCATCAAAAGAATTATGCTACAAAGAAACAATTGACATTGTACTACGTATCATAAGTTCTCTTGTTTATTCTTTAACATTAGAATTTCATAGAAATCTTTATATTGCTTTTATAAACACTTGAGAAATAATTTCTTACTCATCTATAGAAAAAATTTCGAATAATAATGACCCACATTGCTTTTGTAATGATAAATTTCGAATCTGTGAAGATGATATAGACAATGGTCAGACGTTCATGTTTTTTCTTCATAGAGAGAATAAATATATTGAACAATTGTTTCCATTGGCTATCAAACATAATGAAGAGAATAATAACACAAAATGAACGTTCGCAATGTAACATTATATGAATGGCTATAAGAAAAAAAAAAGTGGTGCCTTATTTCTCGTTTTCATTCAATTCATAATAATATGGTTACTCTCTTCGATGATTTGCCTGATCTATCATTGATAGAAATATTTTCTTATTTATCTTGTGTAGATGCTTTATGGTGTTTCAATAATCTCAATATTCGCCTAACAAGATTATTAATTGAACGAGGTTTTTATAATCATGTTAATTTATCATCTATGCGATATCATCGATTCAAAAAATTCTTATCATTACTTCAATTCAATGAAATCGAATCACTTATCATTGATTGTTATTCATCCCCTCTTCAGCTAAGATGTTGGCCTTATTTACCACATTTAAGAATATTAAAAGTAAAGGGTGTACGAGATGTCATTGATGTTTTTAATTTTGCACAACGACATTCCACCACATTAACTCACTTAGGAGTTGAATCAAGCGAGTATTTTGAAACAGTAAGTATATTTCGAAATAATCTTATTTTAGCAGTAATTTCAATAGAATGTATGGAAAAGAGTAAAAGACTCTAGTCGAACATTTTTTTTAATGTACTTGACATGTACAGATATTAAGACTTGTTGATATCATATGATTTTTTTTGCTCAAGAAGTTTATGCACATGAGAAAAAAAGTTCGACTAGAATAAGCATAAAATTTTTGTATTTATGATTGCTTGATAGTTCTTATCCATTTATTCATGTATAAAACGATGCTTGAAGACAATATTATCATATTCTATGCAAGAATATATCTAAGAAAAGCATTTTGATCAGATATTATTCATTTGACATTTCTTTCCGACGAACTAGATCAATTATTTTTGAAAGATCAATGTTAAATAAACAAAAATATCTCTTGAAAACCTTTTGTTTTTGTGTAAAAGATCTCAAAACTCAAGATCTTTCTACATAGATATCTATTTTTTGTTTTTAACTAAAGAATTTCTCTATTATAAACAAATTTAGATAAGTAAAGAAAAAATTTAAACTTTTAATTAGCAATACAGATATATGCTCCTGGAAAGAATAATCTTTCCTCTGTATTTTGAGGATATTGTTACCGTAGAATTATATTTTTCAAAAAGTAATGATATATTCTGAAAGCGCGTGGAGTTCTCTATCATCCTGTATATTTGAATTTTTGTCTCGACTTATATGCTAAAAAATAAATTAAGTACAGTGAAAGTACTCTTATCGTCAAATTCTCAAAGACTGGATTTAGTCATTATCATCCCAAATATTTTTGAAGGTTTTTATAGCTTTAAAAATGCTTTTTAAAAAAAAGGTAATTACATAATCTGATAGAACTTGAAATTCTCTATCACCCTGTATATTTTCTTATTTTCTTGCATTTATTTGTTGAAAAATAATTTGAGCACAGTGAACATACCCTCAATTGACAAGTACCAAATATTCGCATTTTTGTCACTATGTAAATTGAAAACAATATATTAATATGTAAGGTGATAGAGAATTTCAAGCGCTATCAGAATATGTAATTAGTTTTCTAGAAAGCTGTTTTTATAGTGATGAAAATTTTCAAAAACTCAAAATCCAATCTGTGGAGATCTGGTGATAAGGGTGCTTTCATTGTACTTAATCTATTTTTTAGCATATAAGTCGAGACAAAAATGCTAATATACAGGATGATAGAGAACTTCACGCGCTTTCAGAATATATCATTACGTTTTGAAAAATATAATTTTATGGTAACAATACCCTCAAAATACAAAGGAAAGTTTATTTTTTCCAGGGGTATATATTTAATATTTTTTGTTTTATTAAGCGTGGTTTAAGCAGAAAATTATGTTATCCATCATGGAATTTATGTAAATTTATCACTGAAATTCTTAATCATCTGTCTGCTCTTCGTTCACTTGATTTCGGAATGGAATCATCTTTTTTCTTACATCATTGGCCTTTGAAAACAATACAAGTGCCTTTAATTTATTTGGCTATTACATTGAATATAACGCGCACTTTGCTAGATATAATGTCGACTGAACCATTGTCACATACATTAGAACAATTACACATTAAACTACGTGATGGATCTTATCTTATAAATAGTTTAGATGCTATACGTCTTTTACCCCGAATGAAAGCTTTACATACATTTAGTTTTGTTAAATCATTGAATTGGCATTCGATTGTTGAATGGACATTTGTTAATCTATTAACTTCTTCTAATATTATGCCTGTTTTACGACGAATGAATTTTTCTCTTGTTATTAGTGTTGATGATCTTATTCGAATGAGAAATTCAGCACTTTTTACAGATTTTCGTCATATTGATGTTCATTATGCATTTATTATCAATGATGATCGTCCACATATAGAACTTCTTAATTATGTACCACGTGGTAGTCAATCTCATCTTCGTCAAATAGCCAGTGCAACTTTTATTTCTGATTGTTGGCCTGATAATCAACCATTTAGAACTCCAAGACAAAATTATGTAAGTTTTCATTTTCTTAAAGATTATTTCAATATTAGACTTGTCTCTTAAAAATACTCTGTCTATTTTGTTTTTAGTTGACGAAATCGAAAAATCGGCAACATCTATTCTACAGTTTACCATGGATTTTTAATGAATTTTTTCAATTAAGTGTTCCAGATAGATGTATTAGTGAATTAGAAGCATTTATATCTTCTTCAATTACTAAAATTCATTCGTCTCATTTAATTAAATTAAATATGTCAGACAATCTTGCATCATCTACAAGTTTCTTCTCTCAAATAATGTCTTCAAATAAGATAGTGGAACTTCATTTATATCGATGTAATAGACAAGTGTCTATGAATTTACCCAATGTTTCTCATCTTATTCTTATTGATAGTTTGGATTCATTGAATAGTTCTTCACTTTCATTAAACATTCGCTCTATTCAAATCATTCTTCATTATGAATGTCTTCGTTTTGCAGCTGGTGATTGGACTGCTTTACGTTCACTCTCAACTTTACCATTGTTGAACTCTTTACGTATAATTTTATATGGTATGCGTATTCCTCCAGATGGTACAAATTGTCAAATTATTGCGAAGATAACACCAAAGTTATTGGATTTCTCTTTTTGTTTTCGACGTATTTATTGTCAAAATTCGTATGATATTGATGCAGCATACAAGAAACATTGTTTATTCATCGAACAATTACGAAATTGTATTCTTAATTTATCATTAAATAAACAAGCATATGTTTTTGTTGAAAAAGATGGTTGTGGACTTGTTATATGGTTTTGAATGATTGATATATTTGAAATATTTCATCTATTTGATTTCGTCATAATAATCATTCATGTTATTTCATCTCTCTTGTCTAATGTCAATATTATTATAAATAGTTAATAAAAAGCTTTAACAAACAAAGAATGACCAGTAACATTATTCTTCCTAGAAAACATAAGCTATGTCCTATTGATTGTTTGAAAGATATTTCAAAAATAAGTTCTTGCGATAATGTACAAGTTAAATATGCGATATTAAATGTTCAAGAACAGAAATAAAATATATTAGGTTTGACCAAATCAAAATCTGATTATAAAAGGTTTAATATACTCTTCAGAGTCGTAATCGGTAGGGTTTTTCCTTACCGATACTAATTAGTAGCGGTCAGACCGGACCAGCCGGTATACTGGTATGAGTCATTCCTTTGTTTTCTGACATTATAAGACTTAAATCGACCCCTGGATGAGTCATATTTTCCTTTGAATCACTACAGGCATTATATAAAAGTGCTGTTTCACCACTATAGTAGTTTTTACTATTTACTTTATGTGTTTTCTGTTTCTCGACATCAATTGGTGGATAGAAAACTTCATACGACTATAAAGTCTATGTTAATTTTGCACTTTGATTAACTATTCCTCAGATTTGGACACTATTTATTACTTGTATACTTAATCTACCTTCCATACTATATTCGCTTTGTCATCTTTCATGTCCATGAGGAATATGTGCAATAAACAATAGCAAGTACAAATAAATCTATGATAAACTATAATGTTAAATAATTATTCGATTTTGTTTGAACAACAAGACGTGATATTCACGTGGATTGAGCAAATATAGAAAAAGACTCTGACAAATTTTGACTTAATAGGATATTTGATGCAAATTTTTGTATCAAGATGGTCGTCGACATTAGTAAAAGGTTTCTCATTTTCGAAAAAACATCTTTTTGATCATTTTTGCGGAAAAAATAGGGGAAAATTCAAAAAAAATCCAGACCTGGCCGGTAAAGAAAAGTTGTTTCTACCGGCCGGTAAGGAATCTTCTACCGGACCGACCGGTCTACCGGTTTGGATACAACTGTAATACTCTCCAAACAGGCATAATGCATATAGCATACCGAGATATAGTGTGAACAACAACCGAGAAAAATCGGCTTTTCAAAAAATCATTATGATATTTCCAATATAAATGGTACTCATTGTTAGCTACAAATATCCTATAGTGACGATTTGAAAAACTCATATCCATTATCATTTGGTATTGACACATTACTGAAAATTTGTGGAAATTTCCTGAAAATGAACACAAAGTACCTTTCATCTCTATAGTTAAAAAAGTGGAATGCTTTTTTTAGAATAAAGTAAGACTTAATAATAGTTAGAAAACTGTTCGATTAGAAGCTTGAAAAAGAAAGACGTATTTTCTGTCGTTTGTCAATGACATATAATGGAAATGATAAGAAAATTGAATAGGAATGCATTATCTAGGTTATCTTTCTCAATAGTGAACATGAAGACAATTGTTTTCTTTGCGTGTCGATGAGAATTGAAAAGAGAATAACTATCAGTCAATAAAAATTAATAAAAAAACATCGGGACATTTAACTGTGAACAGAAATGGTAGCATTTTCTGAATTCAAACTGATATTGGACTTCGCTGCTTGGAATGTGGTAGAGAAACGATTTGAATTGAATCACACTAAATAGTTTCTACTGGACGTTTTCTAGTGAGATTTGTAGAGACGATGGAGCAATTTTTTGAAAATTGCTGAGCAAAAAAACGGAAAAAATTCTGGAATTTTGTTGAGAAAGAATGAAAACTTTTCAAGATTGGGGAACCTTCGCCACTTGGAATACCTGTTTGCTCTGATAAAGTAAAAGACATAGTAATTTTTAGATGAGGCTAAAAAATACATAAGAAATCGTCTGTTTTTACAATAAAATCCCAGGCGAGGCGAGGCGCCCTTTTGACTGACTTGTGGATCTCTGGTCTATACTATGTTTTCTTGTTTTCAGGATAGAGCTCAGTGAGTCTCATGGAGTCGACGCGTCTCTTGTCTAATATTCATTTCTTTTATACCATATATCGAGTAATTGTTTTAGAAAGCAAGTACTATCAACAGTAAAACTAATAAAAATTGTTGAAAAATGAAGCAAATACACACAAATACCTATAACGAGAAACAGTGAACATTATAGTTTATTGCTTTGTTCACATTTATATTTCAACCTTTATTTGATTCATCAGGTGGTGTGTTTTCTTCATATTCTTTTTGCCATCATCTTGACCTGATCCTTCTGTTAATGTCCTTACTTTTTTGTATCCCATACAATATCATCAATGACATGTAATAAAAGAGCAGTCTAAAAAAAGAAAATAAAAATTTTCTTAACAAAAGGGTGTGGATGTAAAATGAGAGGAGACTCACACCCACCCAAAGAACAGAAAATGAATGAATGAGTTTTTTTATCTATTCCAGAGATGGGCAGCTCCGATCTTTCCTCGCTCCAGCTCAGCTCCAGCTCCAGGCATTTGCTAGCCGCTCCGCTCCGACTCCACTCCAACGAGAGCATTCTCCGCTCCAGCTCAGCTCCAGCTCCAGGCATTCTCTCAGTCGCTCCGCTCCAACAAAAATGAATGGTCATTATTTCATTAGAAAACTTTACTTTTTTTGGTTCCTGCACAGACCAACTTTTGTATTAATTAATGAGATGCAATTTCCGTTATGAAAGATGCAAATGGAAAAGGAAAAACCACAGTTCGTGGTATTCGTCTGACATTTTTCGCTCCAGCTCAGCTCTAGCTCCGGTCATTCGCTCAGTCGCTCCGCTCCGACTCCGCTCCAACGAGAAAATTTATATTAACGCTCCGCTCCCGGAGCGGAGCTAGCTCCATGGAGCGGCCGCTCCGGAGTCGGAGCTGCCCATCTGATCTATTCTAACACATCCTTAATTTTTCGTATTTCAAATAAGCCACAATCTGTCTCAGCATCATTTTCTTTCAAATTTGCTATATCAAAAATTTAATACCAATCATATCTTGACACATTGCACGAACACTTTCTTCGTCCCATTATAACATATGGTTATTAATAATTCAAAGAATTCAGAAGTTCTTATAGCAACTTTGAACTTTGCTGCTTGTATTTCTAATAGCATCGATGTCCCATTGTCGCTTTCAAAATTTACTTCCTCGATGTTTTTACTATAAATTCTTGCGTTTTTATTTTAACTATAAGTCGTACTAATGAAAATGAGGACGAGGAACAATTATTTTCAAAACATGACTTCTCCAAAAATTAAAATGCATTGTCTGCTATCTACCAAAAAGCTTCATGAATCCCACTATTTTTTCGCCAATTAGACTTTAGTCAATGGTTTAACAAGGGTCTTACCGACTTTTACGAATTGTTACAGAACAGTATGAATGTAGCATAGATATAAGAGCTATGCCAAATATTATGAAAATGTATCTTTATGTTTGTATTTATGAATGTAGTTGATACAAATTTCTAATGAATATCAAAGCTACACATAAATCGTGAAAGTTAAGTGAACTTTCGGTAATCTTTGCGAAGCACGGGATTTATGTAGTCCTTCGTAAATTTACTTACTTTATCGACGTACGCATGAAAAGTTGTCGTTTTTTTCTGTCACCATGATCTCGAGAATCGAGGCTCATAAAATATTCGTTCAAACACGAAGTGACAGTATTAAGGTCGAACTGATTCCATTTTTCTGTTGATTTTAAAGATGTCGTTTCATTTATTTGCAAATAGTGTTCGAAAAGGGCAAATGTTTTAGAACTTCGTTGTTTTCAAACTTTGAAATAATTAAAACGAAAACAAAAACAAAAGTTAGACGCCACTCTCTTTGCTCATATGTGAAACAGCTGTAATACAGCTGATTATACATAAATGAATCATATAGATAACTAAACGATCAATCGAAAGCGTTCTTTAGAAATACGTTGATATATGTCTATAGTTTTCATAGTGATAAATCTTACAGTGGCTACTTTTCAACTTGGTCTTTACTTTGATCAGCTGATTGACGGAAACGTAATATTTTCAATTGACAACGATCGAGAGAAAAGTCTTGCTCTGTAGAACGCAAACAACTTGACGAGAGACACTATTCGACATTGATTCAAGAATCGATTTTTTCTTTTTTATCAGATATCATTTTCCAGAAATATCAAGATTATTGCTTCGCACCGCACTTTGCATTCAAGAGAAACTCGAAGACTCACTACTTAAAAATATTGTTTAGTTTGAACTGATAGTTTACCAACTAAACAAACGATCTATTTATTTATTCTAAATATATTCATGTAATCCAGAATGTGATCATCATCGTATTAATAAAGACACAAGTGAATTATAATGGAAAAATGTACCAAAAACTGGCAATATCTATTAATCTATTTTTTTCAAAGAACTTTTAATTAAGATTTTGAAGTAGAAAGTATGTTCGATAATTGATAGACATAGATTTACTCAATCAACTTTTGTTAGTTCTTTATTAAATGAAATAAAACAGCACAAGTAAAATCATATTGATGAACTCGACTGAAAAATTTCGGTTCATCGAAATCCATTAATGTAAAACCATATTTGTGAAACGTTTGAAAATAAACCGATAACGATCGATGATATATGTTCAATGAAAATTTTTCCCATTCTTGTTTTTCAGGTGTTTCATCAAAATAAGATTTTGACCATGTATAAATACGTTTAGAACCATTTTTGTCTGGTACAACATCAAAACATGGATGAAGAATGACAATAATTACACGACCTGACGATTTAAGAACACGTTTGAATGCCTAAATTTTTAATGCATTAAATATACACGCAAAACTCATAGATCTCGATGATTTCCTTATTTAAAAACAAAAAAACAGAGAATTACTTTCATTACTGAATCAAGATCAGGTGTATCCATAAGAACATAATTTGCAATAATTAAATCAATGGAATTATTTTCAATAGACTTTAATTCAGTAACTGAATCATGATACATTTCAATCCTTTTCTGATCTTCATCTCGTGTTATTCGTCGATCTATATTTTCTTTTGCTATCTTAATCATAACTGATGATAAATCAACTCCAATTATTCGTTTAGCACGAGTTTCAAGGACAAATTTTATTGTTAAATATCCGTTTCCACAACCGGCATCAAGAATAACTTTATCGTCGACATTTCCAATATATTTCCAAAGATATATATCACTTGATTCTTTTCGATTCGAATCTCCATCATCACCAATCCATTGATTCCAAACTTCTGCATGTTTGTTCCATTGGTTTTCTACGCATTCTAATTCACTTACCATCTGAAAAGAATGAAATGTTACACAATCTCAAAGAAATATGATATTCATGCATTAATATATGATAAAAGAAAATGATTAATGAATGGAAAAAATAAAAACGAATTATATTTTACAAGACAGATGTCACTTTTCATTAGAAGATTGAATTTTTGCATATAAAGGTTCTTCTTCATCCTTTGTTATAATATTTCCGCTAAGTGTTGTAGGATTTATAGATTGTGGTAAAAGTTGAACAGTATCATCGTTTGTGCTGGAAATATTAAATGTGTGTATCGTATCTAAATCAATGGTTCCTGATGGTGGACGTGATGTTAATCGATTATAGATAACAGCAGGCCTATTTGATATATCATTTGAAGTTGTACCAGTTGATCGACGTTGTATTCGACGAGATGAATCTCTGGTACCATTACGTATTGAATATGATCCACAAGTTTGTCGAATATAACGTAGAAGAAAAACGATGCCTGTGACAAGGATAACAAACATGACTAGTGAACCAGTAACAATCATTGCAAGTCGTCGATGATTAGACGGTTGAGTTTTCGTCGTTGTTAATATATTATTAGTATTCGATTTATAGTCAATATTAGTCTCATTATTAAGAAGATCTTCATCAGCAATTAGAGTTGTACAATTATCACAAATGGGTATGATTGTTTCATCAGACGTAATTGATAGATTAGTAGAATTCGATAGAATTGGTAGAGTTAGGTCTATTGTTGATGACTCAATTTTAATATTTATTTCTAATGAATCATTTTTAATTTGACCTATATTACTTTGAGTTTCATTAATTGGAAAAACTTTTGAAATATTATTTTGAATTGGCTCACATTGGCAAACAGGATGACCACCATGATTACATCGATGAAAAGCAGTAAATGAACCTGATGAACGAATAAAATAACGTAGAACACAATCATTATGATCAGTTTTATCTCCAAGTAATAGTCGTAACCAATGTTTTTTATTACTATTATTTTTTGATTCATTTATTAATCTTTTTTCTAATTGATAATAGAAAAATTCAAGTAGAATATCATCAAATGATCGACCAAGAAATCTTGTAGTATTTACATTACCCCATTCATGAGAATTAAATTTAACAAGTATACTATTCGAATATTTATTCGAACAAATACGTTCACCATGTAAAATATTAAAAACAAAGGACGTATGAACATAATAACACACGTTATTGAATAGAACAAATTCTGATGGACAAGAAAAATTGTCAGTAATAGAAGATCGTTCTTCAGTATTTCTAAATATAAAAACATAGACAGTTTCTTTGAGTACACAAAAAAAAACAATAGCAAACACGAACATGTTTCTATGTGATCTGAATATCTTAGAAATATTAACTTTGACATATACTCTTGAATTTTACCTAGACTTAGAATTCAATTAGTTCATAATTTTCTATTCCCAGTCTATTCTGATTCCCACTAGATCAATAGTATCATTACCCTACTGATTCACACCTACAATAAGATCCTTGCTCTGCATTAAATACTAAAACCTGCCGTATTTTGACTAGTTCGAACTTCAAGTAGACATTTTAGATTCATAGAATGCTTCGGAAGACTCGAAAAAGTTCCCGAATGATCTAAGCATTATTATTACTGACGTGCCCCATGTTACTAGAAACGCGTACTCATTGATCTCTGTCCTCTCCCGATTATTAGGAAAACGTACCCAATCACCGTTAATCTTTCTTCAGTGTCTAGGAAAACGTAGCTGAGATCAATTGAAATCTTTGTTTCGATTATACTCATGTTTTGATGAACTGTCATCAATTTATTATTCTTCAAACTCTATGATGAATGTGCTCTATATGTAATCAAGATATAAACTGTGCTTTTATAATTTGTAATTAGGTTCTAATCCGCAATAGATACAACATCTGGAAAACATATTTTGTTCGTTTCTCACAAAACAACTTGATTGAATAAATGTTTTTAAATTTTTCTCTACGATATTCTAAATGGCATAGTTCATTTTCTAGGGTATCTGTTTCAAACAGTTACGAATAAAAAAAAAATTTCATTAGAACTGATTTTATCTGATTAAATATTTCGTATTAAACTTACATCATTTTAAATTCTGCTTGATCGGACATTATTGTTTCTAGAGGTTTTTGTGAACAAAGTACAGATCCTGATGAATGTGCAGTTGAACATGGAAGAAGATCAAATGATAATGATCGATTTGAATTAGTTTGAACAACAACAATACAAAGATCACTTGATTTTAATGAACTATTTCTCGATTTAAATAAATCATCAAATATATACGCTGAATTACGATCAATCTTAATAAATGTACGTGTACGTAGTGTAAATGATCTTGACATTAAATGATTCCATTGTTCATATGTTTTTATTAACATTGGTAAACAATTTTCATTAGTATTAATTTTTTGATAGTTATTAAGTATACCAAGTGGAATGAACTTCAAGCATAGATGCAAATTTCTATCAAAAATAAAAGCGGGTGAACAATAGCGTTGGACATTTATTTTAACAACTGTATCTAAATTGATTTCGGATTGACTTGAAAAATTTTCGAATCCACTTTTTAAATAAGATAGAAATGAACAATGAATAAGTGGTTTTCGTACAGCCTTAAGTATGATTGCTTGGGATACTTCAATTGGTAAACAATAACAAGATTTTCTTAACGAAAGAAAAAATGAAAAATAATTTGTTTGACGGATTAGTTGACAATTTTTTCGACATGCATCAATTCCTTGATTATAATCAATATCATTTAATAGAAGATTAGCACGATATGTTTGAATACCGTGCAAATAATAACAACCATCAAGTGACCAATCATAATTGGACAGGGATGTTGATGGTAATAAATCAACATCTTTTGTTAATGAATATATTTGTAAATCATTTGAAGTACAATTATTTATTGTTACAAATTCACCAAGAAATTCATTGAATTCATTTGGTTTAGTCATTGTATATAAACAAATACAATTTGTACCATTGTTATTTATTAATATTTTCCATTGTCGACATAGACGAAAACATAATTCAATTGTCATATTTGAAGTTGAAAATGTTTGATATGGTAATAAAGAATTTTCTTGAATGTAATTCATAATAAATTGATTATCAGTATTTAATATTAAACAACCGATATGAAAATATTTGGATATAGATAAATCTTCCTGACTACTTATGGATGTACCAAAATGAATCAAAAAGATGCAAAAGAAAAAATGGATGAGCATTTTTTATTTACTGTTGGTAACAAAAGTAAAAAAGTTTCATGAGAAATCGAAATCGAAATCGAAATCGAACACAAGTATGTTATTTGAATTGAATGACAAAGAAAAACAGTTGTTGAATGATATATCGAATTTCATATGCGTCAATATTTGCTAATTTTACTTATTAATGATAGAAAGAACAAAACTAACTTTAGAATGTATCAGTATAGGTCTAGTATGACTATTATAAAAAAAAAAAAAGTATTCATTGCCAAACAATTAGAACATGGAAAAACGAAGTGATCATTTTCTATTGTGAAAAAAATGATTGGATGAGATCAAACATGTTTTTTCAAGTATCTATCAAAATAGAAAAAAAATAATAAAAGACATTTACCAGTTAATCAAATACAAATAATTGATTATAAAGACCATTATTGTTTGTTTATAGAACATACCATTCATCAATCATATCATGTGCGATATGCTTTTACCTAATATATTTGTAACATTTATTAATTTTTTTATATTGTATTATTATGAAAAAATTTTGAACTCGTCCAGTCTACTTTGTATGAATACTTTTATTTGTAGAGATAAACTTCGTTAGACCCGACTAGTTTTTTATATTGATATTTTTGTTTAATAGAAAAATTTCATAATAAATTAATTTAAAAGAAATTTAAAAAAACGTGATAAATTATTGAAAACTATTTAGTTTCAGATGCAAACAAAATCTTGAAATAGCTATTTGCTCATTTTTTAAATAAATTGCTAAACTGAGGATATCTCATCGAGCAGACACGGCTTCTAATGTAGATTTATCGTTTACAGTGAGAAAATATTATGAATAATATATTTGTCTGTGGAGCAGACGAGGAATCGCTTATCTCAACATCCTACTTCCACTTAATTGTGTAAATTAAACAACGTGATTTATCACTGTCAATCTGAAACATAATCGAATAATTGGTTACAAAAAATTTTTGTTATATATATTCGTGAAAGAATTAAAAATTTATGGATTCAACAAATTAGCAATTCGGACACATTGTTTACGTTGTGAAATATTATGATTTGCAATTCAATACAGCGTTATAATTCTGTCCTACTATCTTCCATATTTCTTTATTGTATGGTAATATTGAGAAATAATCACTCTAGGAATCGCAAGATTATTTTGTCTTCATGAACAGTCCCTGGAAACAGAATAGTATTGCAATAAATGATAGATGAGGAATGTGCAGAATCAAAAATAACAATACGTCTTTCACTGTTACCAATGATTAAAGTAATAATATTCAAAAGATTGAGTGAAATTTAAGAAAAAAAATTATTGTGATTTTTTTTGAAACCCTCTTATAGCCAATTGATTGCTCTCGTTGTCCAACATACCATTCTCCATATTTGCATGATTAATTCCCGTCGGCAAACTACATGCACGGACGATCATTGATTCTTCTTTTTTTTTTTGCAATTGTCATCATGCATTCTTTTTCTGTGGAATAATCCTTTTTTTTTGTTATTAATACTAGACTATAGCGTGGATGCTGTTCTGTTCCTATTTTTTTTCTTTTATAGAAAAGACATGGCTTTTCTTTGATCTATCTCACTTAACAAATAGAAAGAGAAAAGAACTGAGAAGAAAAAAACCAGTATGAATGTTTCATTTTTTGTAATCGACAGAAACGGAAGGACAAAATTCATCACGAAATACAATTAACACGATTCATTTCTTGAATACAATGAAGCTATATTCTTTGTATTTATGCATGGTATTAATGAACGTATTTTCATCAGGTAATAGAATAATCATTATTCATTGAAAAATTCATCTTCTTTCTCAGTTTACTCTGATCAAACTGGTGAACTCTATCAATATTTAATGTCAAATTATAATAAAAATGTTCGTCCCGTAAAAAATAATTCTGATATTGTAACTGTTAAAGTTGGTCTTAAACTTATTCAAATCGCTGATGTAGTATGTATTAAACGTTCGATCGTGACATTCTTCTCAAATATTGTATAGTTGATTTGAAAAATATGCGAACTTGCTTTCTTTTATCTGTAGTCGATTGTCAAAAATCATGATATGATTCATGCAATGATTTTCAGTATTAGAAGTCGACATTTTGAGTTCTTGGCATTGAGCAGTCCAAGTCAATTTTCGCTCTGTTTTTGGGAAAAACACTTTCGAATTTTTGAAAAATACTGCTTTTTTTTGGGAATAAAATGGTATTTTCAGGCATAAAAATCGTTCGTTTTGCTACTGAAAAACCGCCCTCGAAACAGAATAAAATTTTCCGCATAGCTAAGTTTCAGGAAGTGAACAGTTGGAACAGCTCTTTTGCTCATTTGATTTGAACTGCGACCTAGGATCTGGTCGACTCTTTTTCAATATTCGAAAACGCCAAGTTTTACATGTAACAATGGAAAATTGTATTGATTAGGAATAAAACCTCTAAAAGAAGCTTATCTCTTTTAATTATAATGAAAATAATATCACGAATAGTGTTACTGTATATGTAAATGAAACCATCTTGAAATTGGATTACAAAGATATTTTTCGGACAGAGTGGTTCTAATAGTGCATGTTAAAAATTTCATCTCTGTTTCAAGCTGCTTTATATCTCACGAGGGAAGATTTCTAAGTGTGACTCATCAATCAAACTAATATTTTGCCCATAAATGAACCCTGATGAGATTAGTAGAAGTCTATAAGGGTTCGTCTTCGTGTACTGTTCTTCCCAAGCCATTACAATTTTACCGAGGTCTTTTTATCTGTGGCAAGGTGTTTATGGAACAAAAGAAGTGCGGAATTTCAGTCTCGAATTTCGCCTACAGGTAGTTCTCGAGAGCCTTGGAATGCCTTGAAAATTTTGATCGAAAAGGATATGCTATTCTTGAAATACTGAGTATTGAAAAATGGTCATGTATCTTAAAGAAAGGTTAGAAAGTTGAGTTTTTTCACCATTCGATATCTCAAGTGAAACATATCCTTTAGGGTTAAAATTTTCAGTGCGTTGTAAGATCCACAAAAGCTATCAATGGAAAAAATTTCAGATTGAAATTTCGTACTTCGACTTGTTCATAAATACTTTGCTAAAGATAAAAAAAAGTCACTAAAATAATAACAACTTGTGAAGAACGGCACACAGAGACGAACGTTTAAATGCTTCTAATACACTTGCTGCAGTCTACTTATGAACAAAATATGAATTCGATTGGCAAGCCGTACGTGAGAACGTTCTCTTATAAGCTTTTTCTGATAGGGTAAACATCTTTTAAAGAATATCTCTATTTCTTTCCAGGATGAAAAGAATCAAATAATGCAGACACACGTCTATGTGCTTCATGTAAATATGTCTAAAAATATTTTGAACGGAAATAATTTATAGCATATTTAGAAATGGCATGATTATAGTTTTATATGGTCACCAGAAGATTTTGGTGGAGTAGAATATATACATATACCAAACGATTTAATATGGAAACCAGATCTTGTTCTATATAATAGTATATTTTTGGTATGCACTAATAATAGATTAATCATTTGTGTTTATTTATTTAAGATGCTGATGGTAATTATCAAATAACATCAAGTTCAAAAGCACAAATTCGATATGATGGAACTATTCAATGGGTTAGTAAATTATAGTTTATGTCTAAAAGTGAAACTTCGATTTTCAATAGAATCCACCAATGATCTATAAATCATATTGTGTAATTGATATTCAATATTATCCATTTGATATTCAAAATTGTACACTTAAATTTGGTACATGGACATATTCTGGTTCACTTGTTAATTTACAATTTTTAACTGATAATCAATCAGTTATTTTTGAACGTGGTTGGGATCTTGAAGATTATACACCTTCAATTGAGTGGGAAATTTTAAGTAAAGAAAAAAATTTGCTTGTTTTCCTGAAAAACAAAGTTTTTATTTAAGATCTTCGAGCAATTCGACATGAAATAGTCTACTCATGTTGTGCTGATGTTTATCTTGATTTAACATTTACATGTACAATCAAACGAAAACCATTATTCTATATCGTTAATTTAATTGTTCCATGTGTAAATATTTCTGTTCTAGCTGTATTAGTTTTTCTTTTACCATCTGATAGTCGAAAAAAAATTACATTATCTATATCAATTCTTGTAGCATTATTAGTATTTTATTTATTACTTATTGAACTTATTCCTCCAATATCAATAGTTATCCCACTACTTGGAAAATATCTTCTTTTTACACTTGTTCTTGTTCATTTATCTATTATTATTACAATTATAATACTTAATACACATTTTCGTCGTCATCCAACAACGCATATGTCATCATGGTTAAAAAAAATGCTTTTAGTTTATTTGCCAAAACTTCTTTTGATGAAAAGACCAAATATACCAACAAGATATGTATATATAAAAGAACAGTCGAATTTAATTCAGCAAAATCAACCTTTAACATATCAATGGAAAGATGAACAACGAAGACGTATTCTTAAAATGACAGCTGATCACGTTGCTTATATTGCAAAACAAATTGAAAATGCACAAATTGAAAAAGAAGTAAGACTTATAATAGAAAATTTTTTCTAAAATCGGTTAAGTTTTTGAAGAAAATGAAACATGAAAAAATTCCATAATACTATCGAATTATAGAATAAAATAAATATATTCGAATGTAAAATGAGAGAATTTACCTTGAGTTTCTATTAAAGAGTCGACTCACATAAAATCACTAATTAGCTAACTAAGAATTTCTACATAAAATCTACTCAGTCAGTCATGAACGAAAAGTTATGCCGAGTTGTTTGGCGACGTTTGGAAGTGATACGTAAATGATAAAACTCACAGTAAAATAAGTTTTACTCATTAACTGAAACGGA